CTGATTTTTTGATTTATTGTAGAGATGAGGTCTCGCTGCCCAGGCGGGTCTCGACCCCGCAGGCTCAGGCAATCCACTCACCTCAGCCTCCCAAAGACACGGGATTACAGGCTGAGCCACCGAGCCCGGTTTACCCTGGAGAATTCTGACCTGGAGACTCAAGCTCAGGGGAGGAGAGGCAGAGGCTCAGTGCCCAATAGGCTTGAATCCCTATTCCCAGCTTCCTGGCTGTGGGCCTGGGTGGAGAAGGAAGCTGGGCTTAGTGGGAGCAGAGCAGGCCTTGGAGGAGTGGAATTCTGAGCAGGACCTGGGGCAGGGACTGGGGAGTGACAGGGGCACACACAGGCCATAATGTGCTTTCTAGCAAGCCAGATGTTAGCAGAACCAGTGTAGGTAAAGGACCAAATAAGGCCTCGGGAGAGGGATGGTAACTGAGAAGTGCCTGGGCCCAGGCTCAGGCCATGTATACAGAGGTGACCCTGGGGGACCAGCAGGGTGCTTCCTCCAGGAGACTCAGCTGACCAGGCCTTGGAGCCCAGAGAGACTTGTCTCTGACCACAGTGACAAGTCTCTTGGGGGGAGGAGCCTTGTCTCTAACCATAGTGGTGGGTGGGACTAAAACCCAGAGCTCCAATGGGGGGTAGCCCTGGGCCCTACGCAGCTGTCAGGACCTCGTAGAGTGGAAAGCAGGAAGTGCCCGCTACCTGGGGTTACCCTGGGAGCCGCAACAGGAAGTTCCGGGTGGGGAGGAGGCCCTGGTGGCCACAGGCTCCAGATGTAGCAGGAGTGAACTGCGGGCACGACAAGCCAGGGCGCACGGGGCAGCCAGGGGCATCAGGCTTCACATGTCTGGGAGATGCAGGCGGCGGCCTGGGCCCACGGCCCTTGAGCTGCATGGCCTCCCTGGGCTCCAGGACACCTGCCCCCAGCAGGTCACCGGGAAGGAGGAGAGCCATGTGCTGGGTCAGTGCCATCAGGTCAGTGGGTGGCCCCGGGATTGTGGGTTTGGGAGGCAGCACTGGCCTGGCACCTGAAGAACCACTGGGAAGGGGCCTGGTCTGGGAGCCACGGGTTTCTTCAGGGCTGCCAATGGGGGCCCCTAGGACCTGGCCCTGGGCCTGCAAGAAGCAACATTCTCCAAGGAGAGTGGCCCCTTTCTGGTTTGAACTAGCCTGGGGTGGGGGCCCAGGTCAGGTGAGCCCTTCCTGTTAGATACCCTGCCTGGGGTATACTCATTGTGTAAGAGTGTGTGGAAGTGTGCTGGGACACAGGAAAGAGCTGCGTGAGGTCCTCGCTGCCCACTTGGGGAGTGCCATGCCCTGGAACCTGGTATAGAGGACTCACGGGGACCTCAGGGTCCTGCTGGGTGAGGGGTGCCCTCGTAGAGCCCAGGTTGTGCTCCCTTGCCCCTGGCCAGCAGTGGGTTCTCTGGCATAGTCGGTCACTGTGTCTTCATGGGAAAATCTTGGTTTTGATTCTCTTACGAAGAAAGATTCTGGGAAGAGGAAGGACAGGAGGGGAAACCGAAAGGGGAGAGCAGATGAGCTGTCATGAGGCCGGAGGTGGGGCGGCCCGGGGCCAGGGCCTCCTCCTAGCGGAAGCACCCGTCTGCTCATCCCACCTCTGTCACCGGTTGCCTGGCTGTGCCAGGTGGGGTGATGGTGAGTGCTCTGCCATTTACTGGCTGTGTGCTTTGGGGAAGTTTCTCGCCTCTTTGACCCTTGGTGTCTTTGTCAGTGACATGGGGATGACTCTGGTTTAAGCCTTAGGGTGTTGGATGATGGCATGGGCTGATCACTGAGACACACAGAGTCTGACCCATGGTGAGTGCCCACTGCACTTGGTCCAGGCCCTGAGCCTCCCTGCGCCTCAGTGTCCAAGTCTGTGAAATGGGAGTAAAGCACCAAGCCTATGTGGGCCCTATGAGATTTACTGAGCTCTCAGGTAGAATTGGCTCTGGGCCAGGGCAGGGCTGGGGGTGGTGATAATGATTCTGACCTGTGGCCAAGCTGCAGGGCACTGGGGACCACCATGACAGGTTTTGTTAGCTCGTGAAAGCTGTGTGTGTGTGTGTGTGTGAGTGTTTGCATATGTGTGAGTGTGCATGAATATGTGTGTTAATATATGTATGAGTGTGTGAGAATGTTTGTGAGCATGTATGTGTGTACACGTGTGAGTGGGCATGTGGGAGAATGAGTGCGTGTGTGTGAATGAGAGCATATATGAATGTGTGCATACATACATGAATATGAGTGTGTATGAGGACAGGAGTACATGTGCCTGAGTGTGTGTATGAGGACATGTGAGTGCGCATGTGCATGACTGTGTGTGTGCATACATATGAGCGTGAGTGTTCATGGATGTGTGTATGAGGACACATGAGTGTAGGTGTGTGAATAAGTACATGTGTATGCATGTGTGTGTACGTGCATAATACGTGAGTACATGTGTGAGAATTAGTGCATATGTGTATGAGTGTGTATGCATGTGAGTGTGAGAGTTAAGTGTGTATGCATGAGTGTGAGGGCATGCACATGGTTGAGAGTATGAAAAAGTGCATGGGGGGCCCTGATATCTTCTCCCTTTGGGCTGGGACCCCTAGTCTTACTTCATTCTGTTCTCACACATGGGGCCAGCCTGGTCACACTAACAGTAGTCTCTGACACTGTGGCCACATAAGGTGACGGCTTCTTCACCACAACCAGGGCCATGTCTGCAGATGTCGCGGATGAGCCTGTGGGAGCAAAACCCTGCAGGGCTTCCACCCTAGTCTCATGCACAGGCTCACACTCGTGCACACGCATGCACACACACACACATACACAGCCCCCCACATGCAAGCCATGCAGCTCACGTGCATGTCCTGTGCAAGGGCACTGTCTGGGACATTCACTGGGTGTGTGGAGCCACAGTGCACATGAGGCTTGCACAAACGATGACCACACACCCCTGGGGCTCATAGGGCTCCAGGGCGTGGGAGCCACAGAGTCTGCATTTAGTGCAACCCAATGAGGCCGTCTCTGTGGACCAGAGTGGTTTTCACTTGTCTGCTCTGCCCTCACCCCAGCAACCTAGGCCTCAGGGTCACCTGACCCAATTTCAAGTTTGAGAAAGCATGGGGAAATGAGCCGAGAAACAGAGACCAAGAGAGTGTGTCCCGGTGCCCGGCTTTCCCTAGTGTGTACAGGCACACACATGCACACACACACATAAGCAACTGGCTCAAATGCATGTCCACACATGTGCACATATAAACATTATATGCCTTCTGGAAGGGCTCGTGGAGCCCTACAGCCACCACCAGCTCTGGCCACTCTGCCGCTGACCCGTGTGTCTCCAGTGCCCTGCCCCAGCCAGCCTCTGCCCCAGTAGCCTCAGAGGTGTCATGGGACTCTGAGAAGTAGACTCTTCTACACTCACTTTACACTGGAGGAATTGTGAGAGCTCAGTGGAGGAAGGGCCCCAAGCAGGATTTGAACCCCGATCTTTAGCATTCTCCCTCACAGCTTCCAACTTTGAGAAAAGGTGGGGAGATGAGCCCAGAAACTGGAGAGCTCAGCTCAGCTGATACTCCCGGCAGCATGGTGACAGGTAGCCCTGCTGGGGGGTCTGCCCCTAACAGGAGGGGATCGAGGCTATCCAGGGAGCTGGCAGGAAGTCCTTTGGAGTCTCCTGGAGTGAATGAAAGGCATTTAATCATTGGGTCCTTGGGGCCCAGAGGGAGATAGCCAGGGGGGCCAGGCCAGCCAGGAGTGTGGGTGTCCTTTAGGAACTCACTTGGCTTTCCCAGGCACAAGTGAAGCTGAATTCTGCAAGCTGGGCTGAAATTCTCCAAGAGAGGTGTGGTCACCGTGGCCCCTCAGTTCCCGCAGTCCCTCATCACTCTCAGCTTCAGCTGCCACTTTTCCTTTCTGTGCTCTGCCTGGGTCTGGCACTGGGCAGGTGCTACCCACTGGAGCGGGGCAGAGCCAGGCAGGGCAGAAGGGATTGGGGTGGCAGGGATGGGCTTCCCCTTGGACAGCCCATCCTCAGGAGAAGGGCTGCAGGTGTCAGTGTCTGGTCCTGAAGCCAGGACATTCCACGGGTAGGTGAAGGTACAACGAAACCTGCCTTTGTCATGACCTGTCCTCCCACCCAAGCCCAGCCAATGATCACCTAAGAGCCTTCACCCTGCCTGTAGTGGGAGAGCAGCCAGGTGGGAATGAGCCCCCCACAAGCCTGCCCCTGACTGGAACATGACCCACCTCCTCCTGCTAAACCTGCCCAGGTGTAGAGCACAGAAGAGGTGGTGGGCTCAGTCTGTTCTCACAATAGCTCCTTCCACATCGGACACACATACCAGGTATCCTTATAGATGAGTGCAGAGATGGTGATGGGGGAAAGCAGTGATTCGCTAGGGTGGGGGCTCTGTTTCTGCTTCTGGTGCCTTCCAGGCAACTCATAATCCTTAGCCTCCACCGGAGTGAACATTGCATCCTTCTTTTAGGGCTCCCTGGTTTCCCTGTCTGGGCTGGGCCTGAGCTGGTGAGGATGGGAGATCATGACAACCTAGTGTGGCCAGGATTAGGGGCAGGGAAAGCTGTGCTAGCCCAAAGGGGAGGACACAGGACTCCAAAACCCTCATGGCCACTGCAACCTTGACCTGCTGGGCTCAGGCAATCCTTCCACCTCAGTCTTCCAAGTGGCTGGAACCACAGGTGCACGCCACCATGCCCGGCTAATTTTTTGCTCTTTTTTTTAGATACGAGGCCTCGCCAAATTGCCCAGGCTGGTCTCGAACCCCTGGTCCGAAAGATTATGGGAGACTGCCTGGAAGAGCTTGAACTAACTCTTACTTTCATTTTTGGATTGTGAAGTATACAGAAATCGAATTGATTTTTGCTTTTGAGTTTTTTTTTTTTTTTTTTGAGTTGGAGTCTCACTCTGTCACCCAGGCTGGAGAGCAGTAGCACACTCATGGCCACCCCAGGGTCGACCTGCTAGGCTCTGGAGATCCTTCTGCTTCAGTCTTCCAAGTAGCTGGAACTATAGTCATGTGCTACCATGCCCGGCTAATTTTTTAAGTTTTTAAATTTTTTTATTGTGGAGACGAGGTCTTGCCAAGTTGCCGGGGCTGGTCTCAAATCCATAGGCTCAAGCAATCCACTTGCCTCAGCCTCCCAAAGTGCTGGGATTATAGGCTGAGCCACTGAGCCCAGCCGTAATTGATTTTTATATGTTGACCTTGTATCCTGTCATCTTGTTGAATTTGTTAATTTGTTCTAATAATAGGCACCATGGCAAGACCTCGTCTCTACAAAAAAAAAAAAAAAAAAATTTAACCAAGTGTGGTGGCACATGCCTGTAGTCTCAGATACTCAGGAGACTGAGGTGGAAGGATTGCTGGAACCCAACAGGGTCAAGGCTACAGTGAGCTATGATCATACCATTGCATTCCAACCTGGGCGACAGAACGAGACCCCCCAACTCAAAAAAAATTGGCTCCCGCACTTTGGGAGGCCAAGGTGGAGGATAGCTTGAGTTCAGGAGTTTGAGATCAGTCTGGCAACATAGTAAGACCTCATTTCTACAAAAAATAAAAGAATTAGTTAGTATGGTAGAACACACCTATAGTCCCAGCTACTTGGGAAGCTGAGGTGAGAGGATCACTTGAACCCAGGAGATTGAGACTATGGTGAGCCATGATCATGCCACTGCACTCAAGCCTTGGCAGCAGAGTGAAACCCTGTCTCAAAAATAAATAAATAAATAAATAGATAAACAAACAAACAAATAAATAAGCCAGGAGTGGTGACTCACACCTATAATCCCAGAACTTTGGGAGACCAAAGTAAGAAGATTGTCTAAGCTCATGGGTTGGAGACCAGCCTGGGCAACTTGGTGAGACCTCATCTCTATGGTAAAAAAAATTAGCTGGGCGTGGTGGTGTGTGCCTGTAATTCCAGCTACTTGGAAGGCTGAGGTGGAAGGATCACCT